TTCAGCTGTCTGTAAGCTTCTTTAATATACATAGCACTTGATTGGATAACAAGACCCCCACCTTTATCTGCAGGTTTAATAACAATGTCTTTATCTTCTTGGAGTTGTTTCATTGCTGTTTTTTCTAATCTATTTAAATTTTGGGTGTCATATTTGCTATACTTGATCTTATTAAAATCTTTTAGTACGGATTTTTCAAACATCACAAGAGGTGCTGATTTAAAATTATAAGGATAAAAAGTAGATTGAGGTTTTAAATCTGTATTAATGTATGTAGGTGTATCTGTAGGGATTTGAGAGGAAGGAAGGGGGGGATTAGTGTTAGCGTCATGTGAATTATAAAATCTTTTTAGAGTAGCTTTGCGTATAAATTTATTAACATCTAAAAATGCCTCAAATGGTTTAAAAGAGTTGGTCGGAGCATATTTTAGCCCTTTACTTAAAACTGAAATTTGTGCTGCACTTAAAACTTTTCGTGATAAATTAAAAATGCCGATGTCTGATTCTTTGGGGGCAGTTATTGTCTTTCTAGTCTCTCTTTTTTGTTGTCTTCTACCACTTCGTTTGCCTCTGGGCTTAGAGGTCTTTTTTTGGTCCTTATTGGGTACGGTGTGTTTGTGAAAGTGTGTGGATGTGTCTGAATCTCTAAAAAATGATCATCACTATCTATTTCTGAATCAATGGATAGTAGTTGGTACCTGTTTGTATGTGAGATAGGAGTCGCTGAGTGATTCTTGTAGTAGTGACTGGGTTTGTGAGTTTTAGGTGAGTGATTTTGGATATCTGGGCTCCGTGCGTTGTAGTAGTTGTGACGAGAGTCATAGTGTGTGGAGGTGTTGTTGAAAGTTCTACGTGGTTTGAATGATGTAGGTTTGTGGTATGAAGTTGAGGGTGCATAACCAGAATTGTAATTCCTGTAGTGAAATTTTTGCTTATGTGGAGAGTAATGTGAAGGTTTGTGTAATGTGGGAAAGTGGTTGTTGGGGACATATGGAGACACATGTCGTGTATTGAATGTGGTCGGTTTGTGATATTGTTGTGATTCTGTCCTCATATTTGAGGATGGGTTTTCTGACGTATATCTTTTCTTTAGGTGGTATGTCCTAACCTGTCTGTTAGCATAATCTTGTTTGTCCCTTATGTATTTTTTGACTTTAATATGTTTCGTGTCAATTTCTATTTTTTCAATTTTACTTTGAATTAAAACTGAGTTCTGTTGATATACATTACTTTCTGTGAAGGGCATAAGTTTTTCTTTAAGGTCATTGATTTCCCTATCCAGATTGGACAGTTTTTTACTCTTTTTCTTAATTAGGGTGTCCATAAGGCCAAATGTGCAAGTTTCCAATTTACTGTTCCACTCGTCCATAAATTCCAGATCATCTTGATCTGAAGTGGGTAATTTCATAAGTCTTAGGCCACGAGGTGTTATATGTTCGTCAATATATTTTTTAAAAGTAGCAATCTCCCATTTGAGTTTAATTTCTACTGTTAGAGCCCTTTCTAATTTGATAAATAATTCTTGTTGAGAAAACATTGGGGTCCTAACATAGATAGGACTATTCGGTTGAGTAGAAAATACATGGTCTATATCAATAGTATGATTGGTCCTATAATCAAAAATAGACATATTAAAAGCAGCTAAAACCGGAGGGATATTAATACAGTACAGAAAAAGTCAGAAATAGGTAAGCGCTAATAATATATAAAAAAAAAAAAGGTAGGCAGCAACCTTATAGAGGGTAACCCTCTTACCCTCTAGATAATGTACAGTAAAACAGGAAGAAAGGTAGCGCCAAAATAAAATGAAAAAATAAGTAAAATAAATAAATAAATAAAATAAAATGAGTCCCAATATATGTTGGAGGGTAGAAGTGTCTGTTCCACAATTTCCACTGGTAAAGTGTTTCCTCTGTCTGTGATACTTCAGAGCGTCTCGTGATATGGAAAACACAAAGGGAAAGGACCAATCGTGCAGAATGTATAAAATGTGTAGATATAAAATAAGAAGATGAATTGCACTCACATTATCATGAGCTATGACCAGCTCAGGGGTAATGGGTTTTCAGCAGAATAATCCCTGCTTGTAGGATATAACGAATGCTTGTCCTCTTGGAGTATGACGGTGTCCAACTCTCAGGAAAAGGAAAAATAGGAACAGCCAATAGTGCTCTCTGATAATATAATGTGGTATAAAAATAAAAAGAATAGGAAATATACTCACAAATAGAGTGCAGATATCACTGCACTTGGAATGTCGCGTGGGCGGTATAATCCCCACCTCAGGATATATATAAAATGCCAGGAAATAGGTAGTAAAAAAAAGGTTATGTGTAAAAATAATAAAATAATAATATAGATGGCACAAGAATATAGCCAAACTTAATTTATTATTTAAAATACACAATAAAAACCATTAACGCGTTTCACCACTAGGGTTTTATCAAAATGGTATAACATGAGAACCTGGCAAGAATAAAATATATATAGGGACACTAGTACTTTAAAAATTGCGCCAAAAACAGCATCAATTAGCTTTAACCAATCAGAATCAAGCATAATGTTCATGGATAACAAAACTTTGAGAAGCACATAAAACAGAGATTGTAATGAGTAAGAATGAAAATATGTGTATCACAATCATATTATGCATTGTACATATGAAAAACGAAGCTTTTAGTTGGAATTAAATATTGTTGTAGCGCGTCACGTGACCCGCGCGGCACTATGGGAAATGTAGTGCGCGGGTCACGTGATCGCACACAGACATTCATATTAGCCGTCCCAGCAATGGGCGGTGTAAATGTCTTAGAGGCGGGTGCGTGTGACGTCACGTGACCCGCGGCATACACAAGCAGTGTAGTGTACGGGTCACGTGATCGGCGCTTAGGCGCCTGGGAAATGTAGTTAGATGGGAAAACGAGCAAAATATGGAAAATACACTGCATATATTTAGAATAACGATCATATTAGAACACAATCATAATGTACATAAGACAGGCAAGTGAATAAAAGAAAAACCACTGATAAAAGACATACAAAAAGGTATCAGCATAAATAATCCTCATATAGTAATGAGTTAATATAATAGCAGCATATTTATAAGCACATATATAAGTAAAAAATATATATAAAAAATATAAAATATATATCTCAAGGAATAACAAGAAATACATACATTTTTGTGATAACATGTATATATATATTATAATTAAAATATCTATAGTGTGGTCAGATTGGGGGTATCCTAGACTATAATGCCGTAGGTAGCAACTATGAATAGGATAGCCCCAAAATGACCACAATAAGGAAGATAAAGATAAAGTGAATAAAATCATAAGAAGTTAAATAAATCAAAATCCACATTTAAGCCTTGGGGGGCTAACGTCTGTAAATTAAATACCCACTCCATCTCATTTTTACCTAAAATATTTTTTATATTGCCACCTCTCCATGGGACTTTGCATTTTTTTATTCCGATACATTTAAGAAATTTAGGATCCCGATTGTGTTTTTCAAAGTGTTTTGATACAGAGTGGTTGGCATAACCATTTTTTATATTTCGGCAGTGTTCTGCTAATCTTGTTTTAAGGCATCTGGTAGTCATACCCACATATTGGAGGCCACAAGGGCACTCCAATAGGTAGATAACATTGGTAGTGTTACATCCAATAAAATCTTTTATAATATAGTTTTTGTTAGTTACATTCGATTTAAAACTGGTAACTTTGGAATGGGTAGCGGGATTAGTACTTTTACACACAATACAACGTTTGCATCTATAAAAACCCGTCATTCCATTAAGAAAAGTAGGTTGTGTATTTTTAACTTCTCTGGTATAGTTATTGGTTAAGATAGATCTAAAATTGGGTGCACCTCTAAAAACAATTTTTGGCTGAGTCGGTAATGTTTCTTTAAGGAGATCATCTTGTCTTAGGAGGTGCCAGTGTTTTTTAATCGTTTTTTTGATAAAACCACTTTTGTTATTATAGTTAAAAATTATAGGAAGGGTAGGGGCTTCTGAGATATTTCTATCTTTATAAGTTAAAAGGTTTTCTCTGGGTTTGTTCCTTACTGTTTCTATAATGTTATCTAATTGTGTGGATGAGTAGTTTTTTTCAATAAACTGATTTTTTAAAAACAATGATTGTTCATTAAAGTCATCAATGTGAGAGCAATTTCGACGCATACGTAGAAATTGGCTTTTGGGGGCGCTCTCAAGCCATGGCTTGTAGTGACAGCTAGTCAGATCAATTGCTGTATTGGTGCATACTTTTTAAAAAAATGTTTTTGTATGCACTACTCCTTCTTTGATAAAAATACTTAAGTCTAGAAAATTAATTGTATCTCTACTGTACTCGCATGTTAAAACAATTCCTCTATTATTTGAGTTAAGATGTGAAATAAAAGCATTAAGTGAATCTTCCGAACCTTTCCATATAAAAAACAAATCATCAATATATCTAAAATAGGAGACCAGGTTTTGCTCCCATGCATGCCGCCCCCAAATGGCACTGGATTCCCAGTCGGCCATAAAGAGGTTGGCATAGCTGGGGGCAAACCTGGTCCCCATAGCTGTTCCTCTCTTTTGGAGGTAAAAAGAGTTAAAAAACTGCCCCCAAAGAATCAGACATCGGCATTTTTAATTTATCACGAAAAGTTTTAAGTGCAGCACAAATTTCAGTTTTAAGTAAAGGGCTAAAATATGCTCCGACCAACTCTTTTAAATCATTTGAGGCATTTTTAGATGTTAATAAATTTATACGCAAAGCTACTCTAAAAAGATTTTATAATTCACATGACGCTAACACTAATCCCCCCCTTCCTTCCTCTCAAATCCCTACAGATACACCTACATACATTAATACAGATTTAAAACCTCAATCTACTTTTTATCCTTATAATTTTAAATCAGCCCCTCTTGTGATGTTTGAAAAATCCGTACTAAAAGATTTTAATAAGATCAAGTATAGCAAATATGACACCCAAAATTTAAATAGATTAGAAAAAACAGCAATGAAACAACTCCAAGAAGATAAAGACATTGTTATTAAACCTGCAGATAAAGGTGGGGGTCTTGTTATCCAATCAAGTGCTATGTATATTAAAGAAGCTTACAGACAGCTGAATGATACTGATGTATACGAAAAATTATCCAATGACCCAACACCAGACATACAACAAAAATTAAATACCTTCTTACAAAAGGGATTAGAAGAAAATATTTTGAAGAAAAAAGAATTTGACTATATATTTATTAAGAATCCCCAAATTCCGGTAATTTATTTTCTGCCGAAAATACATAAGGATGCTCAACACCCTCCCGGCAGACCTATAGTGTCTGGAATTAATTCCCCTTTATGCAATTTATCTCAATACATTGACACCCTACTCCAACCTGCAGTCAAACTCATGAAATCTTATCTAAAGGACTCAATGTCACTATTAAATTTTTTAAATGGATTTTATTGGGAACAAGATTTTATACTTGTGACATGCGATGTCACCTCTTTATACACTATTATTCCACATCAACTTGGTTGTAATGCAGTCAGAACTATGTTATCTAATGAAAAAAGAGTCCCAGAAACTCAGATTGATTTTATTGTGGAAGGCATCAATATAATTTTAAATAATAACTATTTTTGGTTTTTTAACTCTTTTTACCTCCAAAAGAGAGGAACAGCTATGGGGACCAGGTTTGCCCCCAGCTATGCCAACCTCTTTATGGCCGACTGGGAATCCAGTGCCATTTGGGGGCGGCATACATGGGAGCAAAACCTGGTCTCCTATTTTAGATATATTGATGATTTGTTTTTTATATGGAAAGGTTCGGAAGATTCACTTAATGCTTTTATTTCACATCTTAACTCAAATAATAGAGGAATTGTTTTAACATGCGAGTACAGTAGAGATACAATTAATTTTCTAGACTTAAGTATTTTTATCAAAGAAGGAGTAGTGCATACAAAAACATTTTTTAAAAAAGTATGCACCAATACAGCAATTGATCTGACTAGCTGTCACTACAAGCCATGGCTTGAGAGCGCCCCCAAAAGCCAATTTCTACGTATGCGTCGAAATTGCTCTCACATTGATGACTTTAATGAACAATCATTGTTTTTAAAAAATCAGTTTATTGAAAAAAACTACTCATCCACACAATTAGATAACATTATAGAAACAGTAAGGAACAAACCCAGAGAAAACCTTTTAACTTATAAAGATAGAAATATCTCAGAAGCCCCTACCCTTCCTATAATTTTTAACTATAATAACAAAAGTGGTTTTATCAAAAAAACGATTAAAAAACACTGGCACCTCCTAAGACAAGATGATCTCCTTAAAGAAACATTACCGACTCAGCCAAAAATTGTTTTTAGAGGTGCACCCAATTTTAGATCTATCTTAACCAATAACTATACCAGAGAAGTTAAAAATACACAACCTACTTTTCTTAATGGAATGACGGGTTTTTATAGATGCAAACGTTGTATTGTGTGTAAAAGTACTAATCCCGCTACCCATTCCAAAGTTACCAGTTTTAAATCGAATGTAACTAACAAAAACTATATTATAAAAGATTTTATTGGATGTAACACTACCAATGTTATCTACCTATTGGAGTGCCCTTGTGGCCTCCAATATGTGGGTATGACTACCAGATGCCTTAAAACAAGATTAGCAGAACACTGCCGAAATATAAAAAATGGTTATGCCAACCACTCTGTATCAAAACACTTTGAAAAACACAATCGGGATCCTAAATTTCTTAAATGTATCGGAATAAAAAAATGCAAAGTCCCATGGAGAGGTGGCAATATAAAAAATATTTTAGGTAAAAATGAGATGGAGTGGGTATTTAATCTACAGACGTTAGCCCCCCAAGGCTTAAATGTGGATTTTGATTTATTTAACTTCTTATGATTTTATTCACTTTATCTTTATCTTCCTTATTGTGGTCATTTTGGGGCTATCCTATTCATAGTTGCTACCTACGGCATTATAGTCTAGGATACCCCCAATCTGACCACACTATAGATATTTTAATTATAATATATATATACATGTTATCACAAAAATGTATGTATTTCTTGTTATTCCTTGAGATATATATTTTATATTTTTTATATATATTTTTTACTTATATATGTGCTTATAAATATGCTGCTATTATATTAACTCATTACTATATGAGGATTATTTATGCTGATACCTTTTTGTATGTCTTTTATCAGTGGTTTTTCTTTTATTCACTTGCCTGTCTTATGTACATTATGATTGTGTTCTAATATGATCGTTATTCTAAATATATGCAGTGTATTTTCCATATTTTGCTCGTTTTCCCATCTAACTACATTTCCCAGGCGCCTAAGCGCCGATCACGTGACCCGTACACTACACTGCTTGTGTATGCCGCGGGTCACGTGACGTCACACGCACCCGCCTCTAAGACATTTACACCGCCCATTGCTGGGACGGCTAATATGAATGTCTGTGTGCGATCACGTGACCCGCGCACTACATTTCCCATAGTGCCGCGCGGGTCACGTGACGCGCTACAACAATATTTAATTCCAACTAAAAGCTTCGTTTTTCATATGTACAATGCATAATATGATTGTGATACACATATTTTCATTCTTACTCATTACAATCTCTGTTTTATGTGCTTCTCAAAGTTTTGTTATCCATGAACATTATGCTTGATTCTGATTGGTTAAAGCTAATTGATGCTGTTTTTGGCGCAATTTTTAAAGTACTAGTGTCCCTATATATATTTTATTCTTGCCAGGTTCTCATGTTATACCATTTTGATAAAACCCTAGTGGTGAAACGCGTTAATGGTTTTTATTGTGTATTTTAAATAATAAATTAAGTTTGGCTATATTCTTGTGCCATCTATATTATTATTTTATTATTTTTACACATAACCTTTTTTTTACTACCTATTTCCTGGCATTTTATATATATCCTGAGGTGGGGATTATACCGCCCACGCGACATTCCAAGTGCAGTGATATCTGCACTCTATTTGTGAGTATATTTCCTATTCTTTTTATTTTTATACCACATTATATTATCAGAGAGCACTATTGGTTGTTCCTATTTTTCCTTTTCCTGAGAGTTGGACACCGTCATACTCCAAGAGGACAAGCATTCGTTATATCCTACAAGCAGGGATTATTCTGCTGAAAACCCATTACCCCTGAGCTGGTCATAGCTCATGATAATGTGAGTGCAATTCATCTTCTTATTTTATATCTACACATTTTATACATTCTGCACGATTGGTCCTTTCCCTTTGTGTTTTCCATATCACGAGACGATCTGAAGTATCACAGACAGAGGAAACACTTTACCAGTGGAAATTGTGGAACAGACACTTCTACCCTCCAACATATATTGGGACTCATTTTATTTTATTTATTTATTTATTTTACTTATTTTTTCATTTTATTTTGGCGCTACCTTTCTTCCTGTTCATCTGCTGTGCATGCCTGTTACAGCTCATCTGCTGTGCATGCCTGTTACAGCTCATGTGCTGTGCATGCCTTTTACTGTGGTTTCCATGCCAGCTCATGTGGGTGTAAAGCATTTTTTATTTTTTTTGCATACTTAGTGACGGTGGTGTCATGGCACCCAAGAAAGCAGCGGAAGCTGAGAAGAGGAAGAAGGAGATGATTCTGCTTGAGGACAAGAAAGAAATCATCAGGAAGCATGAAGGAGGAATGCGATTGACTGACCTTGCCAAAGAGTAAGGAAGGAGTGCATCCACAATCGGTACAATCCTAAAAATGAAAGAGAAGATAACTGGGAGAGATGCAGCCAAGGGAGTCACCACGGTCTCCAAGCAACGGCCACCTGTTCTGGAGGAGGTCGAGACGTTGATCCTGCTCTGGATTGAACAGAAGCAGCGTGCAGTGGACTCAGTGACCAAGGCGATCATCTGCGAAAAAGCCAAGGCCTTGCACGCTGACCTCCTCAAACAACAGCCAGGAACGTCAGCAAATGCAGAAGGCTTCAAGGCCAGCAGGGGGTGGTTCGAAAGGTTCAAGACCAGATCTGGCATCCACAGTGTGGCCAGGCATGGAGAGGCTTCAAGTTTCGATGTTGCTGCAGCTGAGGAATTTGCTACGGAGTTCCTGGAGGTCATAGTTTCAGAGGGCTACCTTCCTCAGCAGGTCTTCAACTGTGACGAGACTGGACTCTTCTGGAAGAGGATGCCAAAGCGTACCTTTATCACAGAAGAGGAGACCTCATTGCCTGGCCAATATGCACACCAAATCTTTGGAATAGAGATATCTGTGTAGGCATTCTCCTTAAAGAAATTATCAGTAGCTTATTTGATTGAATTCAGATTTTGCTTCTTATACAATAAAATGTTAAATCTCCAATTAGATCCAGTTATGACAGTTTTATCATAAAGAACCATGATATCTGCATTATGGTCAGACAAGCCAATGAAGGACCGTCTCACCCTCTTGCTCTGCGCCAACGCCAGTGGGGACCTTAAGATCAAGCCCCTGCCTGTCTACCATTCAGAGAACCCACAGGCCTTCAAGAAACACAAGATGAACAAGGAGCAATTGAGCATTTTGTGGCAGTCTAACCCAAAGGCTTGGGTCACACGCCTCTTGTTTGTGAAGTGGGTCAATGCGGTTTTTGGTCCTGCTGTGAAGAAGTACCTTGTGGACAATAACCTGCCACTCAAGGCCATGCTGCTCATGGACAATGCTCCTGCCCATCCTCCAGGCCTTGAGGAAGACTTACTAGAGGACTTTAATTTCATCAAGGTCATGTTCCTTCCGCCTAACACCACCCCACTACTCCAGCCAATGGACCAGCAGGTCATCTCCAATTTTAAAAAACTCTACACATGGGAGCTTTTCAGGCGATGCTTTGAGGTGACAGATCGCTCAAGCCTCACCCTCCATGAATTTTGGAGAGAGCATTTTGGCATTGTGAGCTGTCTGCAGATTATCACCATTGCCTGGGCCGGGGTCAGCCAGACAAACCTAAATTCTGCTTGTCGCAACCTGTGGCCAGACTGTGTTGTGAAACCTGCCTCCAGTGCTTCTGCACCTGCACCTGAGTCCACAGTGTTGGAGGAAATTGTTTCCTTGGGGAGGACCATGGTCCTGGAGGTGACTGAGGAGGATGTCTATGAGCTGGTGGAGGACCGTGACCTAACCACCGAGGAGCTGGTGGAATTGTCTAAGGAGGCGATGGAGGAGCAGACCGCATTTGAGGAGAAAGAGGAAATGAGTGAGGAACAGCTCTCTTCCACGGAACTCAAGGAGGCATGGCAAATGTGGGTAAACCTACAGACTTTTGTACAGCAGCACCACCCAGAGAAGGCACTAGCCCACAGCCTTGTGAGCAGTTTTGACACAGACATCATGTCACCTTTCCGAGGGATGCTTAAAAGGCGCCAGAGGCAGCAGACAATGGAAAGGTTCCTACAAAAACAGCCTAGACATGAAGAAGAACCTGCTTGTGTTAGTGCTGCCCAATTGTCCTCGTCCTCCTCATCTTACAAAAATTGTTAAAATTGTTTTGAAATATTCCATGTTTTCCCTGTTGACGTGTGATTTATGTACAGTTGAAGTGTACTGTACCATGTTACCAACAGTCTGCCATGTTTTAAAAGTTGATGTGTGATGTTTTAAAACATAAAGTTGGATGTTTGAAATGTTATTGCTTGATTAATCATGTCCCTGTGCAGTATTTATGCCTTTAAAGTGCACTTTATAAAGAATTTTGAACATATAAAATACTTTATTTGACTTTTGTCTCACCTCTGGAAGGCATTAATTGGTTTTCGATGCATTCCTATGGGAAACCGTGTTTCGGTTTACAAATTTTTCTCAATACGAAACGTCCCGGAGACCGCATTCAATTTGTAAACCGAGGTCCCACTGTATTAGGAATTGGTATAATATGTGCTTGAAACATTTCATTCAGGACTTGGCAAAATTGACTAAAGTGATTAAAAAACGTTGTAAGAGAGCCTTTAATATTGTTTTTATTTATTAAAGCCCTCTGGTCCAGGAGCTTTATTTGCCGTAAGATTTTTTATGGCCTGTTCCACTTCACTATCAACAATAGGTTGATCTATTGTCACTTTAGGAAAACTATATTTTTGGAAAAAGTCCTCCATAACTACAGGGGGTTGTCTCTCGGAAAGATTGTATAATTCATAATAAAAAAATTTAAATACCTGACCGATTTCCCCATGATTAAGTAAAAAAAAAATTCCCCTTGCTTGATCTTGGCAATCACATTTTTAGCTCTATCATTTTTTATTTGTTTGTCATTAATTTATCTGCTCTGTTTCCTTTATAATACCACTTCCTTCTGATTTTATCAAGAGTATTATTTGCTTATTGCATTAATTGGATATTTATCTAATTCTTGGTTTCCATCAGCATCTCAGCTGTTTCTTTTGAGGAGTGACTAGTGTTTTCCCTTTCCAGATTTTCTAATTTTATATAAAACTCAGCCACGCTCTCACCTCTAAGCCTTTTCTCTTCGGTGCCCATTTTAATTAATAGACCTCTGATAGTGCATTTATATGCACACCAAATCTCTGGAATAGAGATATCTGTGTAGGCATTCTCCTTAAAGAAATTATCAGTAGCTTATTTGATTGAATTCAGATTTTGCTTCTTATACAATAAAATGTTAAATCTCCAATTAGATCCAGTTATGACAGTTTTATCATAAAGAACCATGATATCTGCATTATGGTCAGACAAACAAATGCCAATTATCATGATTTTTTTTTTTTATCAACTTCACCAGATCTCTTTCTGCTAGAAAATAGTCCAATCTAGAATGGACCTGATGAGAGGAAGAAAAACAGGAGTAATCCCTCTCTTGAGGATGCAAAATACGCCATAAATTAACCAGCCCGTTTGTTCTCAAAATCTCATTAAACTGTCTTGAGAGAGTCTTAGTATGACTTTTTTTTGTCTCTCTTAATTATAAATATTTTGAACTTTAAATGTCCTTATCAGGGATGAAAGAATTGCAAGTGCAGTTAGTTTTTAGTCACTGAGCGCTTCCTTTCTTTAGTTTCCCCCTTTTTTCTTTTCCTTTCTTCCTCTTTCCTTTTTTTTTCTTTCTTTCACAAGCTCTTATTAAGGTCGGATCAGGAATAATAGATAGACTTTGGGGTATAGAGGAGGGAGAACGTTTATAATTATCCCAAACAGGATTAGCAGACAGGCCCTGCGTGGAGCTTCCTGCCTGCCAAATTTTCACTTTTTTGGATCCCTTTCCTCTCCCCTACCTCCTATCTTTCTCTGATTTAATATTGCAGTGCAAATCCCCTTGGCTATAAAAAAAAATACCAGGTATTATAAGGTACTTATCAGTTATTTATCAGGTGTTTGATCGCCGTCGTGAGAACAAACTTCTTTCAGATCTCAGATCCCCATAGTGACAAGATTCTCACTGTGCCCTCAAACGCCTCCAGCACCTGTCAATTGTTCCAAAGTTGTCTTTGGAACAATTGAGCTGCATTGGGAAGTCTGTGATTGGACAGTCACAGAAAGACTGGGCTAGGTTGGAAGGGGAGAGCTTGCAAAGGTTTCAGAAAAGAGATCTGCAGCTTCTAACAACTGTTTTACATATATCCCCAATGAAAAGTATAATTAGATGCATTCATTTAAAAAAAAAATCTTTAATTTTCGAGTAAGTGAATCACAAACTGGCCACAGCACTTCCACTTAACATAGTAACATGACATATGCAATACAAGACATCCTGGTGGTACAATTTGCTAAATTTTATAATACGGGCTGATAGGTTATAGCGAGGTGTGTGACTAGAATTAGGGGGAGAGTGGGCCACTTGTCTAGGTGAGTATATAAGCACTCCACTTGATAAACCATAAAGCCAGTAGAGTAAAGGTGCCTGGGTCACGGTGGTTAAGTGTTTTCTATGAGTGTAGTCTAGTCTGAGTAGCAATCTATAAGTGTGTGTCACTGTTGGGTTTTATGTAGTGACCAGGTCACTGTTCGATGGAGGTTATTGTTGTTAGCTTGCTGGAAACCACTTAGGTTTACAGTGTGCTATTTTCTAGCAAATGTTGCTTCAATTAAGCTGGACTAGGTCCGATGGTGAAGTGTAGTCGTTTTGTGAGATTCTAGGTGTAGACGTCTGTTCAGGAATTGGTGTAGGAGCTTGGGTGCATGATATAGCCTATCTGGACCAGTAGGGTGCCAGCATGAGGGGGGTTCTCTATTTGATTGTGTGGTGCAATTTAGGGAGGTCGGGCACCTATGGAGGTTGTACCCATTATGTAATGCAGCTAGCAGTCCCAGCTTGTCAGACATTGTGTGGCATATGAGGTCCCAAGGAGCTGCATGAGGAGCTTGTGGGGATTTAGAGATTCTGTATACCCCGTCGAATCCAAAGGTTTTGACCTGTCTTATTGGCAACACTGCGGCTACTAGGCGTCTAATAAAACAGGTAGCTCTTCCAATTGTATTGACTCCTTCACCCCTCTGATCTTGAGGTTCTTGCGTCTGTCCCTGTCGTCAAGTATGTTTATTTGTCAGGCCATATTTGCCTGTGTGGATTGCAGTTGTTGTATACTGTCTTCCACTGTGGGGAGGCTCTGTCTCAGGTCTGTTACTTTGTCCTGTGTCGCTTGAGTGTGTGCGGTTACCGCTTGCACTTCAGTAATGAGCGTCGCCAGATCTGCTTCCCACATCTACCTTAGGTTATGTTGGAAGCCTGCCAGCATCATTTGAATGTCACTTTTGGAAGCAGGTGCACAGTCGTGCAAGCCCTGATATGGTTCCTGAAGTTGGGGGCTCGGTGGGGGGCTATCTTGTTGGTCCCCATTTTCCGATGGTAGTGGTGAGGCCTCCTGGGGGGTCTGGGCCCTTGCTGCGTTTGGCATTTGCAGTAGTTGGCCTATGTCCTGCTGGGGTTTTGGGGTAGGTGGGGGCAGTTTTTGTGATTTGCATCCCATCTCACCTCTAAGTGGGGTGCCGGGTATTAGATCTTTTGGGTCGAGTGTTTGCCACGGCCAGGGCCCTCCTGCGATGTTTCAATATTGTCCACCCGCATGATCGGCCTTGCCGCCTCGGCATCTGGTTTTGGAGTCTGGGGACAAAAAGAACGGCGTCTACGGAGTCTGCCGGGTGTACCGCATGTGATGGCGTGTCTGGTTGCTAATTATGTAGCAGAATAGTTGCAGGGTACCTCAGATTGAAGTGAAAATACACGGAGCTCAGAGAAATGGCGTCTTCTCCGATGCAGCGTTAGGTTCTGTCCCCCGCATTCATGTTTTTATTGGGGGTATATCTACTAAATATTGATTTATTTATTTTTTAAAAATTTACATTTTTTATTTCAGCAGTGGAGTGTCCCTTTAAGCAAATGTGTATATACACTGATTTATCGTATGTCATAAGATCTTGCACATGGAAGATAGTAACATTGGTTGAAGTGGCCTTTAGTGTAATGCAACATTTTAAATAATAAATTATAATAAGGAGTGATGAATTTTGAGATTTTTTTTTTTATCCAAATGCATAGAGCCCAGTACGTCCTTGTTCGTTCACATGTCCTTATTCTTTGAACATAATTTGCCATTTTTTTTCCCTTCCCTCCATCTTGTAATTGCAATCTATTTTTGTTCACAAAACTATCTATATAATTTTTTAGGAAATTAATTGTTTAGTCTTTCTCGAATCTCCAGTCTGGCAGCTCACTGTAAAGAAAGCACTGTCTTTTAATATTTAAAGGCTTGTTTTGGCATGTTCATCGTATATTAAGTACTCTCCTTCTCTGTGCCTTTGTATTCTACCAGTTTATTCCAGTCAATAGCTCCTGAGATTCTTAATAAATTCTACTAGGGAAAATCTGAAAAAATTGGCAGTAACATGAATGTTGATTTTAAAATATTAACTTAGTGTTGTTAAAGGAATTTATATAGAACATAAATAAGTATTGGTAAAATTGGAAGGGCAATGTCAAACGTGTGAAGGACATAACACCAGTTTAATTTGATAATACCTGATTGTCCATTAAGATACAGTAATGTGGGGGGGCGGGGCCTGGCCGCCGAGCTGGCCGGTCGCACGGCACAACAGCTCCAGCAAACCTCGATTAATAATCTCAAAATATGGACCTGTTGGATCCACCTGTCGACCTACCACGGTGGACCGGCACGTATGGAGACACTGGACCCGGGGAGAGGCTGGCAGCTGCTGTTTTGTGTGAAGGACATAACACCAGGGGGGGTACGCATCGCTCCCTCTGGATGAGGCCTACTCGGGCAGTGGGTGAGGCGGACGGCCGCTGCCCACTATCCTGCCCGATGCTATACAGCCAGACTCTCTCGGCTGGGCGGACCGGGCCCTGTTCCCCAGCGATTTAACAGGTGATCTAAGCGTTTATAAATTAAGCCTGCAATGCTAAGTATGATATTATTTATAAATCTTGGTGACGATCACATTAGCCTAAGACAAGCAGCTTCAGAGTTAATATTAAGCTACACACCAGCCCTAACAGACAAGCCTTGACCCTATTTCGCCCTTCTAGTCCAGTGGTCACTTGCCCACTTGTTAACTTACTCGACAACTTAAGCTGATATTCCTCATGCTTGATGTTTATTACTTGTCTGACACGCAGGCACATGTGTAGCTATACTACACTAAGCTCTCGCAATGCAATCACAACCCACAGGCACACAACACCACATAGCAGTGGATCATCAGACAAGTTCAGCCATACATATACCAATACTGATGTAGGGATTGGCGAGCTGCTGCTACCCGTGTTAGCCTGATCTTAACCTGTGTAATTGCTCATGCCAACATCTAGCCTGACAACTTTTGAATTACCTGAAATCTTGTGTCACATAGTCTTGAATTGTTTTGCTTGTTAATTTAAAAAACAAAAATTGTGCCGTATCCTCACATGCCATGCTAACCAACTGCTCATAATACACTTGTGGATGCTATTGTGGCACCGTAGGATCAAATGTTGTATGTTTCACATGCACATGAAAAATAAAGAATAATAAAAAAAAAAAGATACAGTAATGTGGACCGTAATTCCCAACCTACCCCTCTAATTCCCAAGGTATTAGGGAGCTATCTACCAAAAGGCTGAAAGACCTAAAAAGATTACTTAGTATTATTAAATTCAGCCCCTACTCGCTATACCACGAGTAGGGGCGTGTCTAGTAAATAGTGAGCAGCAAAACTATTGCCCCCACCCTTGCGCGATGGGTGGGGGCCCTAAATACGGTCCTCCCCCCGGCCCCCTCCCCCTCCAGCCCCCACCCATAAATAAAAATTGGGGGGGACCTACTGTCCTCCCCCCCAGCCTCCACACCTGCGCGGCACGTGGGGCCCTAAATTAAAGCCCCTGTTCTACCTTCAGACAGACTATTTATGTAGATTGCTTTATTTCTCTTATGTTTTAGTCACCCTGTACCCATTATAGGTGCAGGGTGTGTGTAATGTAATTGTTTATGGTGTGTGTACTGTGAAATGTATTGCCTGCTCTCCTGTACTGCTGAGGTTTGCTACCAACTAGGTGGATTTGGCTATGGAGCTTGTCTAGTGCCCTCTGTTGGTAGCAACAGCAATATGCACTACCTGAATAGCAAGACTGGTTCATTTGCATATTTGGGTAGATTTGCATATTGCTAATTCTGCAGGCAGGTGAGATATTTTCTGTTAAATATTGTCTCCCCCACCCCTTTGTCTCCCCCACCCCTTTGTGCCATTGTGTTATAATAAGTCACTGTATGTTGCCCGCTATGATTTGGCTGTTTGTAATTTTATTGAGTTTTCACCAAATTGTTAATGTAATGACCATATGGGCTAGTCCCAAGTAAAATAAATGTTTAGACAGTTCTTCTTGACCCTTCAAAACGTAGCCTTGTCTCGTTCTTGAAAGGGGAATTTTGCAGCATAATCACTAAGCTCTTTTCAGAGCTGTACCTGATTTCTACTTCGGGTCCAGCAGAGGGGAATAAGCAGCTCCATCACTACACAGCGACTTGCCGGGAAGAAAAGGATGTCCCCAACGGCTGATACACTCACTCTAGCTGGGTAGCCGTTACAGGGCATAATTTAATAATACTAAGTAACCAGCTTATATAGAGGTTGGGTCACATGTTGCACTGGCCAATCACAACCATGCCATTAGTAGGCATGGCTGTGATGGCTTCTAAGGGCACATGAGTCAAACGCTTGTTGATTGGCTGCCCTGCAGCCTTTCAAAACGCGTAATTAAATCGCCGAACTCCAACCCGAACATACAGTGGTATGTCCGTGATCGGGTCCGGGGTATAAAAAACGTAATGTTCGGTACGAACCTGAACTTTGCCGTTCGGGTTCGCTCAACTCTATTAGTCACTTAAGCCTTTCTATTTTCTGGTTTCTAGAATTTAAAGTCTTAGGTACTTTGTTGATCAGAATAGAAAAGGGGAACAAAAATGTTTTCAAATAGTAGCACAACACTATAATACAGGCTGGATATACCTGATTGCCAGTGGTCTACATCTTACAGTAAAAGCTAACTACTATCAGGCTTATGTACTTAAAGGGACACTCTAGTCACCAGAAACACTTGAGCGTAATGTAGAAGTTCTGGTGTGTATAATATGTTCTTGCATCCGTTTCAATGAAAATTCAGTGTTTACATTGCCTACTAACACCTCTATATGTAGTCACTCAGACAGTCACGAGAGGTGCTTCCTATTTCAGTGACAAGACAAGCCTAGCAATGGAGAAAAGGTAAGTTAAATAATTTCAACTCCATTCTGAGGTTGACATGGACCCAAACAGGTGTTCCAGCACTACAGTGTTCCTTTAAATTATGCCTCTGTACTGAATGTGGGAAAAGCATCCAGTTTTGTATGGGGACATTTGGACTGCAGAATCTGGACACTGTTCAGTGTCTGGACTTTGCATGAGCCAGATTGTATCTGGATTTTAGCCTAAATGAACACTGCCTGATAAAATCTGTTCTCAGACTTTAAATATTTAAACTATTTGCCCACAGACAGAGCTTAAAGGCAGAAGGCAAAAAACATCCAATGTGCAAGAGTAATACATATGGTTGATGGCCAGTGGCTGTTAGTCAACCGCCTTCAAAAAAAACCAAACAAACAAAAAAATAAAAATTAAGAAAAGCTTATGGGTTTTAGTATAGTCACCTCCCATCAAACTATGCTGTGGGCATGGGCATATCGATATAAAGAGCTGGAGTTTAAAAACAAACAAACTAGTGACTGGGCAGCTATGGCTGCTCTATAGCTTAAAAAGCCAAATGCAATTGGGATCGCAAGCAAATTACCAGTGAGTTAAATTTTATAATTTCACTGTCTGCTGCCCTAACTTCACTAGGGAGACTAGGTCCACACTGTGACGCATATGCCAGGAGATGTATTCAGATCCAATTCCTTTAAAATTGTTTATTTGGTTAAATGTCCAGATCAAATACTTTTTATTTAATTTGGATGTGACAACTGGACAGGATCCTGAAATCTGTGCCCCTCGAAATCAGCAATTTTTGGGGCATGCATTATGATGTGTAGAGTAGGACACCTGTAGTTAACTAGGGTTGTCGTCCTACAATAAGTGTTTGGATGTTGCCAGAACTGATTAAGTCGAGGCTTTGTGCTAAAAAATAAAAACATGGGATTTCTAGCGCTTGTTTAAAGTGTGTGGCAGCTTGGACTTTCCAAACCAGAGTCTCTTCCTTCTGGCCGTAGGTAGATATAGAAAGGGAATCAGGGCAAAAAGGGAAGCAGCGCCTTCTCAAGTGTCCTCAATTCAAATAAACATGGAATGATATGTTAAACAAGAGACAATCTTCTGGAGCTTGAAATCAGCTCCAGATATATCCTCTCTTATTTATAATCACCAGCATCAAAAATCCATTCTCTTATTTATAATCACCAGTATCTAAAATACTACACCATATTCTATTTTATTTGTCCTCTTGTTTTACATATTGTTCCATGTTTATTTGAATTGAGGACACTTTTGAAGACGCTGCTTCCCTTTTTTTCCCTGATTCCCTTTCTACAGGCTTTGTGCTGCCCCACCCATCAATTGCCCACCTCATGGCAGCCAAATACAGCACCTTCTACACCCGCTGTAGCATAAATTTTCCCTTCCCTCTACCCCACAGACAATATTCCCCATTCCACTGCCAAACAGATATTGTATAATGTATATTTCTCGTCCATCCCATCCATCCCTGTACAGTCCCAGTACACTCTTTCTATATTCTATCAAAGCTTCCCATCCATATTTGTCCTGTCTATCTCCCACAATATCCTGCTCTCATATTTCCTTTCATGCTTTTTTTGTCTGCCCCATCCACCTCCTCTGTCACCTGACCCCATTTGCCCACTGTCATTTCTGTTCCTCTCTCTTGTGCCTCCCCCTCTCCCCATTTCAACAAAAAAGTAAAAATTTAAGAACTAAAAAACAGGAAATGCACAGAGAAACTCAATAGCTTAATCTTCGGTTAGTGCCCACTCAGGTCTTGAAAAGGTTTTTGTTCATTTGTGGCCATTACAGTGAGAACTTATGCCATGTGCATATCAGACTAAACACCGCCTATAAGGGCAGTTCAGATCTGAAATGCTGACACGTTTCCTCTGTACGAGAGATACAGCAACCCCGGTAGATTGTTTCAGCCTTGGTGGGCCTCGTCAGTGAGATTTGGCTGGTACCCTTTAAGGCACATTGAGCAATGGGTCCACATCTGGATTACCCTTTTAACTTGGGGAACTCATAAGCAAATGTATATGCTATTTTCCACCCCAACAACTGAGTCTCTGTCATGCCTCTTAAATACAATGCACCCTATCAAAAGTGGCTCTCACAATGCCCCCAACCCTTCCCTATGTCTTATCCCATGCCCCTTTAATTCCTTGTGTCCCTTAGGGCCTGTTTCTACAACAGAATGTGTTGCCAAATGTCCTTTCTGTAAACTAGCAGTCGGATTTGTGAGTCTATCTGCGTGGCATCTTACTAGTTGCTCCTTACTCCACCAAGGGTAATACCCAAAGCAGCACAGAATGCCATATGCAGACAGGATGTGCCCCCGCCACTCGAGTCTCTATCCAACAAACTCACAAGACTGACAAGAATATGTGGCATCCATTTGCTTCCTTTTGTGAAGGAGCCAAGAAGTGTTGACTTAACTCTTTGTTCATAACCTACAAAATGTGCCAGCAATATCCTTGCTAACCATGTTCAAGATGGATATTTCAAAATAATCTGGAACACCGTGTAATATTGAAACGAGATAAGGACATGCTTAGCAGTGCAATTTGTGAGAATAAACGGTGGATTACAAACAAAGAACCTTTACCGAGATTGCCAAAAAGTGGTATATGAAGCCGAGGTAGTTAAACAAAGAGTACAGAGACGGACTGGGAAAGGGAGGAAGATGATGTGTGGACACAGAGAAAGAATAGACTAAATAAGAATTTCTTTCTACACAATACTTTTTCATATCAGCTTGACACAATCACAACTTTTAATTCCTCCACTCTATTGTCCTATGCAATAGGTGGTACTAGTCTATTTGGAATCGTGTGATAAAGGATATTGGCCGCCTATGGCTTTTAATGCTATCCTTGAATCACTTGGTGGTGTTGGTTACTTTCAGATACTGCACACTATCCTTCTTTTAATTCCAGTGGCACTTGTGGGTTGTCACAATCTTCTCCAGAACTTCACAGGAGCTGTGCCATCTCACCACTGCCGTGTGCCTCTTAGTATTGCTCTCCAATATAAAATTAATTCTACAAGGGATGCAGGTCAAGAAAAGTTGCTAAGGTCCTTTATCCCCTTAGACGAGCACCAGAAACTTGAAAAGTGTGTCCAGTACAGAAGAAATAAAGGATGGTCCTATCTTCTAAATGCAACACTTGAAAAAGTGAGAGACCTGAGCAGAGAACCTTGCAAGGATGGATGGATTTATGATACAAATGTCTTCTCCTCAACCATTGTTACCGAGGTATGGGAATCCAGGTTATAGTTATATAGTTTATATAGTTACCTAGTAGTCTAGTTAAAAAAAAACAACCTAAAATCTATAATGTTCACTCTTGAAGCCCATTCTTATATGCTGTAGATCCAAAAGAAGACAAAAAACAATTATAGCCATTTCCAATTATACCACAAAAAGGGAGAAATTCTTTCTTTACTTCAGATTTCTTCTTGGATCAACAACCTGAGAAGATTCATACTTTGCTTGTTTTTTCTTTTTAATTTATGTATCAATATGCTAAATTGTCATGTTGCTGAGTTTAAACCTGATTATAAAATTAAAGTTGGACACTTGTTATTGATATGTATTTACTAAACAGTGAACTGTCATGAGCTGAAGAACCACACTGCATTTTTTAATGTAAAACAGCTAAATTAGAATTATTGGCCCAATTTTACCAGATTGATAATTTAGGTCAGAGGTGTATAATTTAGTTTTAATTCACCATACTTTAGTTTAGTTAACAAACCTCAGTGTTTTCTTGTTATCCATTTTAAAATTGCCTTCTGATTGCAATTTTTGAGGTTTGATTAAATTACCTAGTAGAGGTTATCATGCACTAGGTAAGACATTGACTAATATCTAATGTTAATTGCTCACCTCATTACAGATAGAACTGGACAGTGTCTGTTAATATTTTATAGATAGATAGATAGATCATCAGGACAGGCTCAGATGTCACTGGTTTGAAGAATAATGTTTTAGCTTCAAATAACTGGGTTTGATTGTTATTAATTAATTATTAATAATTTAATTATTATGTTCACCCCTAACGGCAGATCAACCAGTCCAACTAAAACAGTCCTATTTTAACTCTGCCAATGTAAATGGACATCTTTGTATTATTACGATATTCAGCAGTTCAGGGCTTCAGACAATTAAAGGTGTATTCAAAGTGAATTTCAAATTTAATGTCAAAATAGCCAAATATTCAGTCAGCTAAGTTTTTGTTAAGCTACTCTGGTCTTAAATTTGAAATTCACTTTGAACTCCTATTTCAGTAAATAACCCTATGTGTATAGTTCACAAACATTACACAATGATTGCTTTTAAACTATAAAGTTTACTTTGTAAGTTATTAATATTGGCTATTACTTTTTCGATTTGTAGTGGAATCTGGTTTGCAGCCAGCGTTCTTGGAAGCAGGTAGCACATTCCATCTACATGACAGGAGTGCTTATAGGAGCTGTTGTTTTTGGAAGTCTGGCTGATAAGTGAGTGATTTTAAATAACTTTTTAGGGCATGCTTCACGCTATACACTCGATTCACTATACACTGTATGGACAAACGTATTGACCAGTACACCAACAGTAAACTCTTATGACATTGCATTCTAAATACATAGACATTAATATGTACAGACACTCCTCACTTACCGACCGAGTTCCGTTCCTACGACACGGTTGTAGAACGAATTGGTCGGTAAGTGAGGCGTTAAGGGATTCCCTGCTCTGCTGTGTTCTTCTATGTTCGGGGAAATGTCCTTGAATATAGACGAACGCAACAGAGCAGGGAATCCCTCTAATCTATGTTTGGGGAAATTTCTTTAAACATAGATTAAGGGATTGCCCGCTCTGGTCGTAAGTGCGAGCTGTCGCAAAGCAGGTAGGTCGTAAAACGATGACCACCTGTAGTTGGTTTTTTTTTGTGTTTGTAAATGCAGGCTGCAAGGTGCTTGGTTTTACAATAATTCAATAGTTCAGAGGTGTGTCCCAATACTTTTGTCAATACAGTGAATCGAGTTGTAGTTATATTTTTATGTATCAGAATCCTTACATGAAAATGCAATTCTGTTATGTCTCACTTGGTAAAGGTTGTTGTAATCTCTAGTTAGTTTACCACTATCGGGTCCGGGGCAGTTTGTACTTATTTGTAGACGTTATCTTTCTCTCCTAGATTTGGGCGAATGGAAATCCTTACTTGGTCTTATCTTCAGATGGGAATTGCTGGCTGCTGTGCAGCGTTTTTGCCAACCTTTGATGCCTATTGTGCTTTCCGCTTTCTCTGTGGTGTGGCATCATCTGCGGTTTCTGTCAATTCCATTTCACTGAGTGAGTAATCTTTTAATTGTGGGACGTGCAGTATAATTGTGATGTTCACGTTAAGGTAGTCATCATATATTATGATAAAATGCAAAATGGTAAAAATTCATTCATATTTCATGAGATTAAATCTTTATAGCCTTGTTTCACCACAGGCATTTTACAGAAAAATCTTAGATAATTAACATATCAAGATAATTTCACTACTCTGAGTAATGCAATTTTGTAGTTCTGTAATTCAATGATTATGGAGAGGAAACATCTGAAAAATAGTGTTCCATATTGGAATACTGAACAAAGGTGGAGACAAACCTGTATTCTTTCTTTTCAAGTTTTGGAATGGATGCCCAACAGAGGTCGAACTTTGGCTGGAAATTTCTTTGGTTTTTCATACTCAGTGGGACAGCTCTTGCTTGCTGCTATTGCTTACAATATCCGAAACTGGCGCTGGCTTCAGTTTGCTGTTTCAGCACCATTTTGTGTCTTCTTCATTTACTCCTGGTACGTTTAAGTCTTTGAGGTCTAGAGGGAGAGTAACGGATTAATGGTGGATGACATTATTATTGACTGTAGGAAAAGATATGGCTAATTTATAGACGAAAATCAAAAGATACTTTTCTCGTTTTTTGACTAAGGTGGCTACCAGAATCTGCTCGTTGGCTTATTCTTCGAGACAGACCTCATCAAGCTGTGGAAAATCTGAGGAAGGCTGCACGCTTCAATGGGAAGTTAAAGGAGGGCAAGAAACTTAATGCCGAGGTAAAGAGACAGAGAAATACATTAACACAACCAGACAGAATTCACTGAGTATACCAGAATGATTTGGTAAAAATTACTACAATGATTCGTTAAACTGAGTTTAACAATAACAATTTAATAAACTAATACTGACCAATATCATTAGGTAAACAGATATTTGTTTCTGTATTTCTAACTTCAATGAGACAACTTAGTTTCTATTATATTTATTTTTTAACTAAACATCAAGTCTGCTATTTATTTCCTTTTTATATATGTGTTTGGAATGTTCTCCTGGCAGATGTTGTGCTCTGAAATGCAGAAAGAAATACTGGAGATAAGATCATCTCATTCTGTTCTTGACCTTGTACGCACCCCTGCAATGAGACGAATGTCCACATGTCTTCTCTTTGTGTGGTAAGTTCACAGGTACTAACGATTTGTAGTCAATATAGTTTTATTGCGTAAAGCAAAATCAGATTGTCAGGGATATTACCTGATGTGGAGTCTGGTATGTAGAGATATACGCTCACCCTTTCAAATAAACACAGACCAAGGTGACCAGGTAAGAATCCATCTGGTCTGTGAGTCTGTGCATGGGGGCTGTGCAGGGATATAAGTGGACAGTTTCACTTATAATGATTTGATGGCATTGAGAAAGAGTGCTTTAGAACTCTATGATATAAGTGTCTGAGTTAGTTTGTTAGTTTTTGCCAACCCACGTAATTTGCCTGAAATAGAGGAGTAAATTTGTTTAACCCCTTAAGGACCGAGGACGGTTCAGGACCGTCATCGGCATTTTTGCCTTGCCGACCGATGACGGTCCTGAACCGTCCAAACGGTCTGGGGCTACTTACCTGATCGCCGTCGTTCCCCCGGCGGCGATCAGTGTTCTTCCGGTTGTGGGGAGACTGTCTGCAGCCCAGACAGTCTCCCCACGGCAGATTAGGACCCCTGTGGCCATGTGATCGCTTAACACAGCGATCACATGGTCACAATAGGTGTCCATAGTGTCTGCCTGCAGGGGGACTGCCTGTGCTGACAGGCAGTCTCCCTGCTAGTGTAAAATCATAAAAAAAATTAAAGTTAATGGTAATAAAAAAAATAATAATAATTATATATGTATAAATATGATATATAGACATATATTATATCTATATAATATATGTCTATATATCATATATATAACGCCATACTAAGTGTATTTTTATATTAATATGTACTTATATTAATATAAAAATACACTTATAATTAAATTACACACGTATATATATAATATATATAATAACTATATATATTGTATATATATATTATTATAAAATATAAATAATAAGTAATTTAAATTAAATAATTTTTTTTTAAATAATAATAAAAAATTTAAAAAAAATTATATAGCTATATGAAATTTTATTATAACTGTATTTTAAAATTAATATATATATATTTATATCAAAATACACTTAGAATGAATTTGTATATATATCTATGTATATAAAAATAAATAAAAATAATAAGAAATATACATACGTCCATATACAAAATTACATAAATAATTATATAAATATACACGTAGACTTCAAATATATAAATATGCATATATATTTAAATTCTACGTGCGTATTTATGTAATATTTTACATAATTCAGTAATTTTATTGATTGCAATTTGAGGGACCTGCCTGCCAACCCAGGCCGAAATTCCAGAGAATTTAATTTGCTAGCACTGTATTTTACCCTGTAACGTTCTACGACACCCTAAAACCTGTACATGGGGGGTACTGTTTTACTCGGGAGACTTCGCTGAACACAAATATTAGTGATTCAAAACAGTAAAACATATCACAGCGATGATATTGTCAGTGAAAGTTACTTTTTTTGCATTTTTCACACACAAACAGCACTTTTACTGATGATATAATTGTTGTGATACGTTTTCCAGTTTTTAAACACTAATATTTGTGTTCAGCGATGTCTCCCGAGTAAAACAGTAACCCCCCATGTACAGGTTTTATAGCATTTTTGAAAGTTACAAGGTCAAATATATGGGTCAAATATTTTTACATTGAAAATGGCCAGGTTGGTTACGTTGCCTTTGAGAGCGTATGGTAGCCCAGGAATGAGAATTACCCCATGATGGCATACCATTTGCAAAAGAAGACAACCCAAGGTATTGCAAATGGGGTATGTCCAGTCTTTTTTAGTAACCACTTGGTCACAAACACTGGCCAAAATTAGCGTTCAATTTAGTTTTTTTACTTTTTCACACACAAACAAATATGAATGCTTACTTTGGCCAGTGTTTTCGACTAAGTGGCTACTAAAAAAGACTGGACATACCCCATATTGAATACCCTGGGTTGTCTACTTTAAAAAAAATATGTACATGTGGGGTGTTATTCAGAGATTTATGACAGATAATAGTGTTACAATGTCACTATTGATAAATTTTAAAAATGTATGTTTTGAAACCGCAATATCCTACTTGTACCTATAGCCCTATAACATGCAAAAAAAAGCAAAAAAGCACGTAAACACTAGGTATTTTTAAACTCAGGACAAAATTTTTAATCTATTTAGCAGTTTTTTTCATTCTAGATGAGTAAAAGATTTTTCAAGTAAAAGTCAAAAAACATGTATTTTTTCAATTTTTCGCTTTTGTAGATGAGTAAAAGATTTTTCAAGTAAAAGTCAAAAAACATGTATTTTTTCAATTTTTCATCAGATTTTTGTATTTTTTTTAAATTAAAATACATGAGATTATATAAATAATGGTATGTAAAGAAAGCCCCTTTTGTCCTGAAAAAAACAATATATAATTTGTATGGGAACAGTAAATGAGAAAGCGGAAAATTACAGCCAAACACAAACACCACAAAAGTGTAAAAATATTCCTGGTCGCAAATGTACAACATCGCAAAAACAGTCCAGTCCTTAAGGGGTTAATACTAAATCATATGGTCAATGTCTGTACACATGTAACTCAAAATAATAAAAGTAACTAAATTGTTACATATACGTCCGAACACACCAGGACTAATTAGTCATAACCTACTGCGGACCCTAGATAAAATGGTTCATGGATAATTGAATGATTAAGTGTCAACGGAGTAAATCTGCCTATAGATGAGGGACACCAATATCCCAAACACACTGGACAGTGCCCTCCTTAAAAGGTAGAAAACTGAGTGGCAAACCCTATATCGAAAAGCTATAGGTAAAACATTATGATCGTGCCCCTAATGCACAGTGAGACAGTATCCATGTGGAAACTTTAATCAAACCCCTTGCTAAAAAAGGGGGGGCTCCAGATCATAAAGAGACACTATAGACATAAAGATGAAGTAATAGTTAAAACACAGCCATAGATATGTGTCAGGAGCTGAACAATATCGACCTCTAAATCACCCTTCGTTATGCTGGAAAATATGTCCTCAAGCCAAAATTCATGAGGTCTGCAGCCCTGCTGTCTCCTAAATTATGGCTGTACTAACATCAGAATTCCCACTCAAACTCCCAGGTTTAGGCTAGTTATGAGGAAAGAGAAAGACAAAAAAATTATTAAACCATACTAATGTGCTGAACCATACTTAGAGTGTTGGTTACCAGCACATGTGGATAGAGTGCCCTGTGAGATTGAAATAAAGTGAAGAACGAGAAAAACCCGACGCGCGTTTCGATGCCTACAACAGTGCACCTTCGTCAGAGGCCAAGCTTATACTGAACACAGGATTGTCTTTATATATGTTTAGTATCTCTGCCATAGCCCAATCATTGGTAAGCGTGTAGCCGTTATCGGGCGCCAAACTGCCGACTTCGCTGTATGCTAATGGGGCTATTCACACCCACCAATCACACTATGCTGCATGTTGAACTATCAGTTTTTCCAGCAGTTAACCCTCTCTGTACTGATGGGCTAGCAATAATATGATCTGTTAGTTAACCTGATATGGTGGCCCGGCTGAGAGGCACTTATACTTCACTATAAAAAATACCCCCTTCTGTCTCATTAGAGATATCTTTGCCAGAAGCTCAAGGAAGCAGGCTGAAGGGTCAGTGTTAGGACCTGCTTAGGGGGGTCTGCCTTGACGTTGGCAGGCGGGCATTCCCTCCAGTGGCCATTGGAGCAACTAAATTTGTCTAAATATACAGAGGGAGAGAGCGCAGGTAACTTTTTCTTTTCTTTAGCTTCAAATAAATACCACCCAGGTGGCAACCCTAAGTAGTGTGTAAAAAAAAATAAAAAATTAATATATATATATATATATATATATATATATATATATATATTTTAAAATCAATGGGCCTGGAGCAGCAGCTCAATCAACCCCTATGTTAATCCGGCCCTGCACATATTAAGAGCACACTAATCTAGGTACTCTCCACTGGATACACACCAATCTGATGTATATGTAACAATTTAGTTACTTTTATTATTTTGAGTTACATGTGTACAGACGTTGACCATATGATTTAGTATTAAAGTCTTTTGCCTGTCACATTTTTTCCTAATTGCATCGGACCAGGGATTTTGGAGGTTCAGTTATGTTTCACTCAGTATTGACCTACAGGTTTGGGTACAATTTTCTGTACAGTGAAGTACATCTACTATTTTCATTTTGACATTATTTGGCAACATTGGTTTCCAGTTTTACCCTGTATGTGAGACATGTTATCCCACAGACTTGAGTAGTTTTTTGTTGTAAAGAAATATTAAAGTAACTGCTTAATGAGGAGTTGTTGATTTTGAAACTCTTGAGCCACCGAAATATAGGATTTTCTTTAACTTTTACAGATTTTTTTTTATTTTTTATTATGGCTATTATTTTACATTGGTAGCATTAGTATTTTCATTTTATAAACTGTTTTGATAGGCCTTAAGTTAGGTTCCTGGAAGGGTTAATTTCTGTACACCTGAATCATAAGACTAACAGCTTTGTACATTGCAAGGAGATCAAATACGTAGTCTTGGCACATGGCCATCGTTGTTCCTCCCTCTTCTAAGAAGACCCTACACCTATACCCTCCTATTCTAAGAGGATCATACCTATTACACACCCTTTATAAATGTAAGTGTTATGTTTTCACCATGCTGTTTGCATGAGCTTCTTTGTGTTGTTAGTTAATAGTCAATATTTGATTGCTTATTAATGATACCCCTAGACTCCCCTTCATTGTGCGTTAGTATAAAACATTTGTTTTGTTTAATAAACAATGGACATTTTTCTGAATTGCCTCCTTTGTAAGATTTCTTAAGCGTGTCTCAAAGTACTTATGGTGTGGCTCAGTCTGGATAGAATTTTAATACCACGACAGGTAATTATGGTGATAACAAAGGACAGGGCAGATGTTGCAACATCAGTTCCCTAGTCCCAAAATGCCTAAAGGAAGAAGTAGATAAAGAGGATTTCAAGGGACTTGGTTGGTGAATGTGAGGAGTATGTACCTTTAATTTCCTAGGGACCAAGGTACTGATAATGCATTGGTTCCTTATTGAATGATTGGTAGGCTTTTCTCTTTTCCTATAACTTTTAGCTGCATGTGACTTGACACCTTCTGTTACTCTGTTGGGTACCACTATTATTACTCTACAGCCCATGGGCTATGTGATGGAGAACGGGATAAGTAGGAATCGTAAGGACCCTAAGTGATTTTTATTACCATTGTTGGTCCTGTTATTTCGAGTGTGGGAGTCTATTTTTCCTGAGGTGTGGAAAAACTTCCCAAATTATACCTGAATTAAAAAATATAATTATGCTCAGATACATTGCCATTTAATATCATACAACAAATAAAGTATCCCAGCAGTAGCTAGTAACAGAGTGTATAAACATTAAGACAATAGTGATGTCGCGAACTTCCGCAAATGTTCGCGAACCCGGCGAACCGCCATAGACTTCAATGGGCAGGCGAATTTTAAAACACACAGGGACTCTATCTGGTTGAAGGGGGGGGGGGAGGAGACTTACTCTCCTCCCCCCCCGGCCCCCACCCCTGGGCGGCGGGTGGGGGCCATAAAGATAATGAGGGGGGGGACCTACTGTCCCCCCCGGCCCCCACCCCTGAGCGGTGGGTGGGGGCCATAATAACAATAAGGGGGGGACCTATTGTCCCACCCTGGCCCCCACCCAGAGTGCTCTTTGTCATTTTACACAGCGTGGGAAAGTTCTTTGGAATTTTCCCACGCTGTGTAAAATGACAAAGAGCACTCTGATTGGCTTAAACCCACCAATCAGAGTGTTCTTAGCCTAATTGCAGAGCGGGGCAAGGTTTTATAAGCCTTCCCTCGCCCTGCGGAGCTCAGTCTGCGCGGAGCCCTCCATGGGTGAAGATGGATTATTTTTTTGCGCTCGGGTTTTTTCTTTTTCTTGGGTTTTTTTTTTTTGCGCTCGGGATTTTTTTTTTTTTTTAGTTCAACGGTTATGTTGGTTTTTTATTTGGCCTTTTTTGGGGCTGAAAAATGAAGATTTGAGAAAAAAGAAGACGTCGAATGGTAAGTTTAATTTTACAGGTTAGTTATTTTATTCCCCCCTCACTATTTTTTAGGGTGAGGGGGGTAGGTAGGGACTTTTTATTTGGGGGGGTGGTGGGTGACTAGGGGCTTGGGGACCCCTAGTCACCTTGGGGGGGGGAAATTTACTTAGGGCCCCCACCCGCAGCCCAGGGGTGGGGGCCGGGGGGGAGGACAGTAGGTCCCCCCCTCTCATTATCTTTATGGCCCCCACCCACCGCCCAGGGGTGGGGGCCGGGGGGGAGGACAGTAGGTCCCCCCCTCTCATTATCAATATGGCCCCCACCCGCCACGCAGGGGTGGGGGCCGCTCATTATCAATATGGCCCCCACCCGCCGCGCAGGGGTGGGGGCCGGGGGGGGAGCAGTAGGTCTCCCCCCTCATTATCAATATTGCCCCCACGCGCGCAGGGGTGGGGGCGGGGGGGACAATAGGTCCCCCCCTTATTGTTCTTTTTATTGCCCCCAGCCACCGCTCAGGGGTGGGGGCCGGGCAGAGGACAATAGGTACCCCCCCTATTAGTATTTAGGGCCCCCACCGGGTAAGTTTAATTTTATTTTACAGGTTAGTTATTTTATTCCCCCCTCACTATTTTTTAGGGTGAGGGGGGTAAGTAGGGACTTTTTATTTGGGGGGGTGGTGGGTGACTAGGGGCTTGGGGACCCCTAGTCACCTTGGGGGGGGAAATTTACTTAGGGCCCCCACCCGCAGCCCAGGGGTGGGGGCCAGGGGGTGGACAGTAGGTCCCCCCCTCATTATCTTTATGGCCCCCTCCCGCCACCCAGGGGTGGGGGCCGGAGGGGGGGTGGACAGTAGCTCCCCCCCCTCATTATCAATATGGCCCCCACCCGCCGCGCAGGGGTGGCGGCCGGGGGGGGCAATAGGTCCCCCCCTCATTATCAATATTGCCCCCACCCACCGCGCAGGGGTGGGGGTGGGGGGGGGACAATAGGTCGACCCCTTATTGTTAATTTTAGGGCCCCCACCCACCGCTCAGGGGTGGGGGCCGGGGGGGACAGTAGGTCCTCCCCTTATTGTTATTTTTAGGGCCCCCACCCACCGCTCAGTTAATTAGAAATACATGATTACACATTTTCACATATAACAGGCATATAAATATATTTTTATCATATGATACAACACAAAATAAATGATATAGATATATATTTAAAACATCATTACGGACAACTTAAGTTCTAAGTACAAGTGCTTTATTTTTTTCTTTCAATTTTATACTATGTGTACCTAATGGACAAGTAGTTAATAGTTAAAATATTTTAAAAATATACAGTGTTAAAAAAAAAACCCCAGAAAAACATTTCAAAGACAGACTACACGTTTGTAACTGAATTATTTTAAGAGTTCACTTTGAAGGTGCAGCATTGCCCACGGCTGGCAGGATCAGCAGTGCTTGAAATTATTTCCTATGGAGGATTATATTTTTTATAAAAAAGTGAAGACATGGGAAAACAATCTCTATTCTCTCCAGTGAAGCTGTTTCAATACTTTTCAGATATGCATAATATTAAGCATAGCATTGAGCACAGCGAAGCATGGCTGTGCTACCAGCTTGCCAGCTAATCTGTAACTAAAAGATTAGCAGTGTTTGCATGAGAGCAGAAGGCAGTTTGCTAATGGATGCCCCCATGCTCAACAAGTGTGACCTAGGGAATCATTTCCAACAAGCCTGCTCAGCCCAGTTTAGATTAATTACCTTAGAATCCACCCTGTTCGCTTCTTCTCTCTCATTAGTAACATGCAATCAACTAGTAAGTATTAATTTGCAACTTAAAGTGGCATATCAAATAACATTAACACTTGAATGGCCAAAGGAATGAGAAACGTTAGGCAATTTTGTTCTTTTGGTTAAACCTTTAATTTCTTTTCATTGCATTTAATAAAAATAATAGTAAAAAAACAATAAAACTAATTAATAAAAAATGTTTTGCTTTCAAATTTATTAGTGTATATATATATATATATATATATATATATATATATATATATATATTTGGACTTCCATCTGAATATTTTGTATTTTATATATTTAAAAAAAAAAATATATATATATATATATAGAAAGTGCTTATTTAGAAAGTGCTTATTAAATTATAATTAAATAGATATATTTAAAGTTCAGAAGAAAGCACTCAATTGTTTAGGTGATAATCCTTTCACTCAATCATTTAGGTGATAATTCCTTCACAACATGAAGTGCAAGTGCAGTGCTGAAATATAAAGCTGGGACTTACCCCTCACAGAGATATATGGTAAATGTACATGAAACAGAAAGGGATAAGTAACATAGAAACATAGAATGTGACGGCAGATAAGAACCATTCGGCCCATCTAGTCTGCCCAATTTTCTAAATACTTTCATTAGTCCCTAGTCTTATCTTATAGTTAGGATAGCCTTATGCCTATCCCACGCATGATTAAACTCCTTTACTGTGTTAACCTCTACCACTTCAGCTGGAAGGCTATTCCATGCATCCACTACCCTCTCAGTAAAGTAATACTTCCTTATATTATTTTTGAACCTTTGTCCCTCTAATTTAAGACTATGTCCTCTTGTTGTGGTAGTTTTTCTTCTTTTAAATTTAGTCTCCTCCTTTACTGTGTTGATTCCCTTTATATATTTAAATGTTTCTATCATATCCCCCCGTCTCGTCTTTCCTCCAAGCTATACATATTAAGATCCTTTAACCTTTCCTGGTAAGTTTTATCCCGCAATCCATGAACCAGTTTAGTAGCCCTTCTCTGAACCCTCTCTAAGGTATCAATATCCTTCTGAAGATACGGTCTCCAGTACTGTGTACAATACTCCAAGTGAGGTCTCATCAGTGTTCTGTACAATGGCATGAGCACTTCCCTCTTTCTACTGCTAATACCTCTCCCTATACAACCAATCATTCTGCTAGCATTTCCTGCTGCTCTATTACATTGTCTGCCTACATTTAAGTCATCAGAAATAATCACCCCTAAATCCCTTTCCTCATATGTTGAGGTTAGAACTCTATCAAATATTCTGTACTCTGCCCTTGGGTTTTTACGTCCAAGATGCATTATCTTGCACTTATCCATATTAAATGTCAGTTGCCACAATTCTGACCATTTTTCTAGTTTACCTAAATCATTTGTCATTTGGCTTATCCCTCCTGGAACATCAACCCTGTTACATATCTTAGTATCATCAGCAAAAAGACATACCTTACCATCAAGACCTTCTGCAATATCGTTAATAAAAATATTAAAGAGAATGGGTCCAAGTACAGATCCCTGAGGTACCCCACTGATGACAAGTCCAAGATTTGAATATATTCCATTAACTACAACCCTCTGTTGCCTGTCACTCAGCCACTGCCTCACCCATTCAACAATATTTGAATCCAAACTTAAAGATTGTAGTTTATTGATAAGCCTTCTATGTGCAACAGTGTCAAAAGCCTAACTGAAATCTAGGTAATCAATGTCTACTGCTCCACCCTGATCTATAATTTTAGTTACCCAATCAAAAAAATCAATACGATTAGTTTGGCATGATCTCCCTGAAGTAAACCCATGTTGTCTCTGATCTTTAGTGTATTTAGTGTATTACTGTGAAGGAATAGTACATATATTATCCTAAGTAAGTGGAAATAATCTCACATAGAGTAGAGCCTTTTCTATGGATATAGGCTCTAAACTCAAGAACTTGTGTGCCATCATGTGGCATACACAACCTTTCTTCTGCAGATGCAAACAGCTCCCAATAGAATGTATATGTGGAGATGAAGCAGATATCATAAAAACAAGAACTTCTAGGTGTAGTATTATATATACCAAAACTCTCACCTGGTATGGAGCTTATAGAACTGGCTCCAAGTTGTAAAGCTTGGTGTCTGTTTAAGATTACACTCCTCTGTTGGAACCCAGATGGAGATTGAGGATACTTAGAGGTAAGTATATGATAAAAAAAAATACCTTTTATTACGGAAAAAAAAGCATGTGATAATACAATAAAAATAATGATGATTAATGTCTCCAATTCCTGAGACGCGTTTCACCTGTAGATCGGCTTTTAAAATCAGTAAGGGTACATATCCAGGTTTCTGTTTATAAATTACCGCTCATCCCACCTTCCATTCATGTTGTCCAATAGGATTTCTGATTACCCGATGAGATATAGCTGCAGGTAATTTCTCGCAGTCTTTTCTGAGTGTTTGTTTTAAGTCCGATATTCCAGAAGTGGCGTCTGTATCTTACTGTGTCACTTATGTTACAGTCTTTACTCTAAGCTACCATTCCCATAATGCCTGTGACAACCAAATCACAGTGTTTTTTATAGGGCTTAAAGTTCTAGTTCATATGGGCATTAGTAAAAGAGAGGTACAACATTGTTGGTAGGCTGTTTGGAGTGATCACAAAGTGATGCTCTAGATTTGACACTATTTAAATCACTAAGTGGCTATAATCACACTACTGTGCTTTTTGTTTGTATTCAATATATTTAAAGTGCTCCTTCAGTAAAGTGAGACTTAAAATATATGTTATAGAATGGAATTAAATGTATATTCGTTTTGCTATTGTTATCCTTGAATTTTTTTACAAATTAATAGATAAAATCAATGCTATTTCACATTCCAATGTCTTCCTCACTTGAACATGGGTGTAGGTCACAGGGGTAGGCAACTTTCGGCACACCAGATGTTGTGAACTACATCTTCCAAAATGCTCTTACAGCCATGATGCTGGCAAAGTTTCAGTGGAAATGTAGTACACAAGATCTGGAGTTCCAAAGGATGCTAACCCATGATGTTCGAAAAGGGGATGGTGGATATGGGGACCGATCTACCAAGACAAGCTTGTGACATTGAGGACAAGATACCCCCAATCATAATAGTACAGCTTTTAAATTCATATGTTTTACTGTTTCTGCAAAATTAGAAAACAACATATTTTGAAGAAGTTGTTTAGAAGATGGAAAAAATACCATTGGGGAAATTGCAGTATATAACACACTTTTTGTTAGTTTTTTTACCGTTTTGAGTAATTGACTATTCTGTAAGAGTGTAATAGCATATATATATATATATATATATATATATATATATATATATATATATATCTATCATATGCATTCAAAAGCGATGTCAAAATAAATCCTGCTTAGACTTCCCAGTGATAGAGTATCATTTTATCAATGGGAAACTGTCTGGTTTGAAGTGATTTTATGAAGTAAAAAAAAATATTCTTTCTACAAGTAAAGTGCATGAGTCATTTAAATGAATAATTCACACAGTAAAAATTAACCTCAAAAGTTAAGTAGATATGTATCTAAAAGGGTAAAATCACAGGATGATACATGTTATAGACAGTTGCTATCAGGTGCAGTATAAAATAAAAATTATTTCATAATATTTAGTTATTTATTTTATACTGCACCTTGTTTTATTGTTTGTCTCCAAATAGAGATAGTCACTTTTATGCAATTTGAAGCCTCTTGACCTATCTTTGAAGATTCTTATCAGAGACGTTTGTGAGTATACCTCTTTTCATCCACTTTTTATTCTTTTTAATACATACAGAGAGCACTGTATTCTGTTTTGATTCCTCTTCTTACATACTGAGGATACTTGACTACTGTACCACTGTGGAAAATGTCTCAGAATATGCACAAGGACCACCATCACATCCACAGATGGGGATTGTACCATCCAGGCGCATAAATATGGAGCTGATTTTAAGTTCCAGAAAAATGTAAGTGCATTTCGTTATTTTGTATTTTTTCATATACAATACATACTACACTATATTATGTTTTCCCATCTTATCCCCTATACTGCTTTGAATTTGAAAAACATCACTACAGGTGCTGCTCTTTGCATCACCCTGTTACATCCATCCTACCACCAGAAAGAAGAGACTTTGGTTTGGGACGTTCAAGCTGCCAACACACAATACACAAGTGCCGAAAATGCCATCTCTGTTTTAGTATAACAAATTGTATGTCAAGGACTACGGTCCTCAAAATTTTAACCTCCCATGTGGGGAAAGTAACACTGTATCAATGTACCACTAAGTTAGATTTTATTTGGTCTTATAATCAATCCAAGGTTTCCAAAGTTCTTGTTGTGAAATAAGTTTCCCTGACAATGCTATAAAATTACTTTTCATTATGCATTGGTAATTCAATTGATTTATTATCTCTTGCCATGTTAGGGGTTGTGTTGATTTCCAATTGCAGGCTATCCAGATCTTAAGTGCATAAAGAATATAAATAATTAAATATTTGGATTTGTTTCCCGATATAGGAAGATCTAAATTAAATAGAAACAGATGAAGAGAAATAATTGTGATATTTGCAAATAGGCCTGAAATCATGGAGAATATCTGCCCTTAATATCATGATGGCACAGCTATACCATGAAGATGAAGCATACTCTCCTTTTTAAATCTCCAGCATGTAGGAGAATAAGAATTGTACATTTTATGAATCTTAGTTTGAACCAGGTACCACCGCTGGTATTTTTAAGTTAATTTCCAACAAAGATATATAGTAGATATATTTTCTTAATTGACTAGTGTAACGGACCGTTTTGCACAACAGTTGTAAAAAACGTTTAGGCGATCGGCCCCCTTTCCAGAGATGCAGCCACAGCTACTGCAGAACACCAAACACACGAACCGCCAATAAGTGAATGCTCCAAACTCCCAAACGGCATCCAATATAGATCTCCAAATACACGAACAGGAACCATACGAATTGCTGCTACCAGACGAATAGGAA